CACATGGGTGAACTTACCCTCTTGCTTTGCAATTATTTGAGAGGATGTTTTCTTGAAATCCTCTCTACTGGTATCAGAACTGCTGTCACTCAAGTCACTGCCTCCTTTTCCACTGCCTTTCACACTAAATTCATCCAGACTTGAACGTGTACTGGAAGGAGAAAGGAAAGAATTACTCTGTTATCCATAAAAAATTTTAAAAAAATAAAAATAAATGTACAAAACCTGAAACACATTGCTGAGAGATAGTGATAAATACTCTGAAATTACCTGAAATCTTGCAACAGATTTGTCCTCTCCACACCGGGGACAGGGAATGAAAAGGAACTGAGACCGAACCCTATTTAAAAAGAGGGGAGAAAGTAACAGTTAATATTTCACCCTTAGACATCAAAGCCGACGGTGCAGGCACCACATTGCTCATCTGGAGTGCTTGGGGAGGACAGCGCTTAAATCTTGAGGGACAAAGGTATTCAAAATGGACCCATAAGGAAGCTACCGGGGCATAAACAGCAGAAACAGATGCGGCCTAACGGTCACGTGGCCACCAGGCCTCCTGCCCTCATCTGTGAGAATGCTTTTCTCTCAAAAAATAGAGTCACCCCAAATTAGACATTGGAAGTCCCAATCTGATCAGGCCTTGAATTTTCATAATGCTCCCAGTATGAAAATCTACTAAATGTTAACGAGGACACTAGAGAGCAGTGGGTGCCCTACCCGGGCGCATGGGACACAGGCCACCCCGCCGCCCCTGGACCGGGGATCGCGGCCCAGTCGCCTTCCCGGCTTCTGCGGAAATGGAAAGGGGTGGCGTCTTCTCGAAGACCCTCAGGTGAAAGCCCCCAGAGTCAGCCCCAGCTGTGACTTGGGCCAACCTGGCCACTCTTTGTGTGACACCCCCTTGGGCTGTGCTCATAAAGCTTCCTCCTTCGTGTCTTAGACTCGCCTTGGCAGAAACAAGTCACGGTGAAGGTGACGACCGCCACCGGCAGAAGGCAGGCGGCAGCTGCTGGCCTAAACAGCCACCACGGAAAGGTGAGGCTGCCCCTCGGGTCCCTGCGCTGTGCGCCGCCCAGCGGGTCCCTCCGTCCCGGGTCTGGCGGCAGCGGCGGCGGTGGCACCGGCGCCACTTCTCCGCCAGGTGGCGCCAAATCCGCGTGCACTAGGAGCGGTGTCGCCGAGCACCGCAGGGCCCGCTGCCCAACGTCCAGAACCGCGACGACCGCCGCCAGTGGGCCAGCGGGATGCGGGCACAGGCGGCGGCGCCGGGACAGCTCAGAGTTGCCGGGCGCAGCGCTAGTACCGCGGCCACCGTCGCTGCGGAGGAGGGTGTAAGTCAGCTCAGCTCTAGGGACCTGTTCCAAGTCCCCTGCCTGCAGTCTGGTCACCCAGTAGCCCAGGGACGCGCCCCAGGGGACAGAAGACACCAGGGCTGCGCCACTGAAGAGTGGCAAGGACACCAGCCAAGGTGCGTGGTCGTTCTAGGCCTCCGCGTGCAGCTGCAGCCCGGCCAGCTCCTCACGGTCAGGCCCCTGTCGCGCACACAGCTCCCCAGCGGTGGGGTCCACCCACACGCAGGTGGAAACGGCGCCCCACCAGGTAGCTGCCCGCTCAGGCCGGCTGCAGCCGGAAGTGCTTGTGCCGGTAGAGGGCGCACAAGCGCTACACCCGGCGCCCCAGTCCCTGTCCGAGGTGCAGACCAGCGCCACCAAGCTCCCGTGCGCCACCCGCTCTGGCACCAAAGAGATGGCGCCGGCCGCTGGCGTCCGGGGCCCGTTCGACGAGGCCGCATCCGCCCCCTCCTCACCCCCAGCAAGTGCGGCCCAGGGCAGCCAGCGGGGTGATGGCGATGTCCGGCGCATTGTCATTGACGTCTCGGATGCGCACGATGACCTTGCAGGTGGCGGTGCGGGGCCCGGGGCCACGGTCCTGCGCCCGCACGTCCAGTTCGTAGGTGTCCTGGCGCTCGTAGTCCACGGGTCCCGCCAGGGTGAGGCGGCCTGAGCGCGGGTCGAGGCGGAAGAGGCGGCGCGCCTCGGGAGGGGTGCGGGCGCCGAAGGCGAACACCACGTCGCCGTTGGGGCCCTCATCGGGGTCCGCCGCGTCCAGGTCGAGCAGCAGCGAGCCCACGGGCGCGTCCTCCGCCAGCTCCACCTCGGCCACGGCGCCCTGCGGGAAGGCCGGGCTGTGGTCGTTGGCATCTAGCACGCGTACGCTGAGGGCGGCCGTGGCGGAGCGCGGCGGGCGGCCGCCGTCCTGGGCCACCAGCTCCAGGCTGTAGGCGGCCTGGCTCTCGCGGTCCAGCTCCTGCAGCAACACCAGGTCGGCGCACTGGGCGCCGTCCGCGCGCGTCTGCAGCTCCACTCGGAAGGGGCTGTGCGGCTCGGCCAGGCGCACGCTCTGCAGCCCGTTGGCGCCCACGTCCTCGTCCACCGGCACCTCCAGGGGGATGCGCGTGCCCACCGCCGCGCCCTCCGACACCTCCACGGGGATCTGGGCCCGGGGGAAGCGGGGCGCGTGGTCGTTGACGTCCCTCACCTCTACCTCCACGTGCACCAGCCTGAACTGCTCCTGCGAGAAGCTGACCACGTCGAAGGCCAGCACGCACTGCGGGGCCTGGCCGCACAGCCGCTCGCGGTCCAGGCCCGCATGACCGACGGTCAGCTGCCGGTCGCTCTCGCTCACGGGGAGCAGCGAGCTGTTGAACTCCATCGGGTGGGATTGGCTTGGCGCTTCTTGCTGAGAGTCAACAGGAGATGGTCAGCTAGAACACCGATGTCGGTGGCCACGTCGAAAGCCAGCACACACTGTGGGGCCTGGCCGCACAGCCGCTCGCGGTCCAGGCCCGCATGACCGACGGTCAGCTGCCGGTCGCTCTCGCTCACGGGGAGCAGCGAGCTGTTGAACTCCATCGGGTGGGATTGGCTTGGCGCTTCTTGCTGAGAGTCAACAGGAGATGGTCAGCTAGAACACCGATGTCGGTGCCGGGGACTTCTTCTCCACAGGTGAGGACAACGACAGTTTCGGTGCAAGACCCTGCCAGGAGCAGCAGCCACAGAAGCAGCAAAGACTCCAATCCAGGCCTAAATAAAAGGTCAGTGGGAAATCCGAGCTCCTAATGAGACATCTTTGCTCCACAAAGAGAAAAGCCCATCGCAGGCTCTGCGCGCAGACTTAGGTCCTCGGGAGCCCTCCCTAGTGCACAGTTATAAGACCCTTGCCCTATTAAATATACCTGGGCACCAAACTCTTTGTGCTATGTAATCAATTTTTCTCTGTCCCAGGCCTAAGCCTGCCTCTTCTGAACCCTATGGAGAGGTTACATAAAGAAGAATATGCAAATAAGCATCCAAGCTGCAGGGCCTCACGGCCTCTGGGTCAAGTTTTTCTGGTAAAAAGACTCACAGAAGGGCCTGGGGAGCTGAACAGTGGCCAAGGCAGTGCATGGGTTCATTAAGATCCACACAGAAGTTTGCACTGTAAAAAAAAAAAAAAAAAATGCAAAATGAATTCATAAGCATCTTTTGCCACCCACAGTTATCCGTCTATGGTGGGTTATCATTTCCTGTATTGAAAGATGATGAGGGAACAGCTTCTCCAGGGGCAATGTCCAATCAGGGAAGAACTGTTCTCCAAAGTAATCTCTTTTAAATAGCTTTTCCATAGAAAGAAACCATTAATGATGAAATTTCAGCCTCTTTATCCCCTTTTATGTCAGTAATCACTTAGGTGTCAGTCAGGGAAGTCTGTCAACCACAAAACACTGTAAGGGATAGTTAAGGGTAAGAAAAAGATTTAGGGAAATATGTTGCAGTCAGTCCTGTTAGAAAATTGCTATAGACCAATTATTTTTTAAAAGCCCTTGGCTGAAGAAAACCACAGGTGGCCTGATCGGCTGAAGGCTAAAGAAATATTAAACCATCTGTCTAAAGCACAATAAATAGTCCTGTGTTAAGTTCTACTTTATGTGAGAAGTGTTCTAAATGATAAACAGTCCCACGTGTTAATGACATTATTCCTCGTGCCATGGAGTCATCAGCGCAGAGCGTTCCTTAACCAGTCATCTTGAATACAATCAGTGAACAGGCCGAGTTATTAATACGCCCAGGCTATTCTCGGATCCTACACAATCG